TCCGTATTGTGGATTGTGGGTCTGGGGAGATGTGGGCATGTCTTAGTGCAGAGCGCGCCATTGGTTCAAGCTCATCAGTGTCTGGGATCTCGGAGAGGAGAATTCTAAGAATAAACATTCTCGGCAGTCTGGCTGATTCATGACAAGCAACACAACGTGTTCTTCATAGCTAGCTCATATTACATGACGCAGATCGACAGACTCAAGTGAAAATGCCCGGTACTAGTGCAGCAAATCTCGCCGACACCCGTCAGGCACCGGTTGGCAAACCTCAGCCTATGAAAATCGTGGCCGGTGAGGACAACTTCGAGCGATGGACAACATTCAAAGAGTGGTGGGACGACTTCTGCTTGCTGGAGGAAATCTACAAAAAAGAACCCGAAATCCAAGTCGCAAACTTTCGAGTGGCCTTCGGTGAAGCTAACCGGGCCTTGTTGAGACACCTCGGAATCGAAGGAGCGTCTCCGGAAGACCAAGCTGACCCGGCTGGGAAGAAACCGTGCCAAGCATTATCAAGAATCGTCGACACACTCGACAAACGGTTCAACTAACACGTCAACAAAATTCATCGAAGGTACGTGTTCTACAAATCAACTCAAGCAGGTGGAGAGACGATATCTGACTTCTACGACAGGCTTATGCGCCTAGTGAAAAGCTGTGGTTACCGGGATGACGAGAACATTATGGTTCGCGATCAACTCGTGGTCGGCACGACACTCGCAGGAGCGAGAAAAGACATTTTCAAGGATTCCAAAGACTTATCGCTCGACGAGGTTATGGTTACACTCCGCAGATTCGAAGATAATCATAAAGCCCTCATTGACATCGGTGGTCCGACACTAACCACTAACGATGACATCAATTTCGTCAAAGGCAAGCGCTTCAATGGAGACACCAAAGACCGTTATCGACGCCGCAGAGCACAGACTCAATCCAGCTATAACCGAAACGGCTCGGAAGCGTGTCAGTATTGTGGAGGACGGCACGAACCGCGCAAATGTCCAGCTTTTGGCCACCGTTGCTCAAAATGCTACAAGAAGAACCATTACGAAAAGCTATGCAGAGGCGCAGAGCAGGCAAAACAGCTGACCTCGGAACCAGACTCAGAAGAATTGGATGAAACTTTTCAAATAACCGCTGCGAAACCAAAGAAGAAATTTTTCGTCAATCTGGTAGTCGGCTCAAATGGAGCGTTGCCTGCTCAAGTCGATACTGGGGCAACTTGCAACTGCATGGGGTTTAATACCTTCGAGAAAATGAAACGCATAGGGGCCACGACCGAACTCAACACGGCGACTAAGACACGCGTGAAGATGTACGATCAATCCACTGCAACCTCGATGGGATCGTGTACCATTCGAGGTGTGTTCAGCGGTAAAGCATTCCCGCTTCTTTTCGTCGTCTTCAAGCAGGAGTTCGAAACTCTACTTTCGGGTCATTCGGCCGAAGCCATAGGAGCCGTCGAATTCCACAAGAACATCGAACGGGCCTATCAAATATCTGCCGAAGAAAATCGCCCAAGGTTCCAGCAGCTGCTCGCGAAATACCATGACATATTCGAGGGACTAGGAGCCTTCGCTCAAGAGGTCAAGATAGAAATAAACCCAGCGATCGTTCCAAGCCAACAAGCACCGCGAAAAACGCCAATCTCAATCAGAGAACCTTTGATCAAAAAAATCAAAGAGCTAGAAGCAAAGAAAATCATCGAGCAAGCACGAAAACCGACTCCCCTTGATCTCCAATCTTGTAGCAGTACCAAAGACAGATGGCTCCATAAGAATAACCTTAGACCCAAGCTTCCTCAACAAAGCGATTATCCGTCCGCGTTTCCCGATGCCAACGCTGGAAGAAAATCTGCCTCTCCTCGCCAGAGCAAGAACCTTCAGCACGGTGGACGCCAAGGACGGGTTTTACCAAATGATCCTACATCGCGACTCCAGAGACCTGACAACTTTCTGGACCCCGATAGGACGATCTAAGTACATCAGAATGCCTCAGGGCATAAGCTCCGCGCCAGAGGAGTACCAACGCCGCCAGGTACAAGCCTATGAAGGACTCAAAGGAGTGCTAGTCGTCGCCGACGACGCGCTGATATTTGGAGTAGGAGACACCGATGAGGAAGCGCAAATAGACCACGACGCCAACTTAGAACGACTATTCAAGCGAGCGAGAAACATTGGACTGAAACTCAACGAAAAGAAACTGCAGATCGCCAAAAGCAGAGTGAAATACCTAGGCCATCTGATTTCACGCGAAGGAGTTCGAGCTGACCCAGACAAAATACAGGCCATCGTCAAAATGCAGCCGCCCTCTGACAGCAAAGGGGTGCTCCGATTTCTAGGCATGGCGAACTACCTGCTGGCTTTCATGCCAAACTATGCAAACATCACAGCGCCACTCCGAGAGATAATCAAGAAAGATCGGCGGTTCGCGTGGATGGAATCGCAAGAGAGAGCTTTCAACGAAATCAAAATTCTTCTAAGCCAGGCGCCAGTGCTTGCGTTCTTCGACCAACGTAAGGACGTCATCATCCACACGGACGCCTCAAATTTGGGGATTGGGGCTGTCTTACTGCAAGAAAACAAAGCAGTGGCCTACTACTCACACGCGCTCTCCGCCACCGAACAAGGATACTCGGCGCTGGAAAAGGAATGTCTGGCTATCATGCTGGCGTGCATCAAATTCGATCACCTCATATTTGGGAAAAATGAGGTTCGGATTCTATCGGACCACAAGCCGCTATCAAGGATCTTCGACAAACCGCTCGAGAATTGCCCGCCACGATTGCAAAGAATGCGACTAACCTTGCAAAGGTGCAACATCAAAGTGGAATACATCGCCGGTGTGAAGAATCTGATCGCCGACGCGCTCAGCCGAGCTCCGCTACCGCGAACAGAAGCAGCTAGTCGAGAATACGCTCTCCGAGTTGAGTGCGAAAACAGTCGCCGCAGAGACGGATGCAGGGTATCAGATACATTGCTCCAGAAAATCAAATCTCACACGGAACGCGACCCTACGGCGACGAGACTGATAAAGGCAATACGAACGAACGAATGGAACGACCCAGCAGTGGCAGCATTCAAAACATTCAGAGAAGACCTAACAACCGAGGACGGTTTAGTTTTCAACAACCGAGCATGCTACATCCCGGAGGCACTCCGGAAAGAATTCCTGCAGCGTTGCCACCGATCTCACCTTGCTCTGGATTCCATGCTACGACGCGCCAGAGGTTCCATTTTCTGGCCCAGCTTGCGAAATGATGTTCGGATCCTTGTGGAGAACTGTGCGGCGTGCCAGCTATACAGCGTGAAACAACACAGAGAGCCGCTAATAAGCGGAGAAATACCAACCAAGCCATTCGAAATAGTACATCAAGACTTATTTGATTGGAACGGGCAGGCGTATTTGGTCACAGTGGATGGCTATAGCGATTTCTTCGATATCACGAAGCTGGGATCAGTCACCACAACCGCGAGAATAATCTCTGAGTGCAAAAAGCTCTTCGCGCTCTTCGGTCGTCCCGCACAATTTCGAACTGACAGCGACCCACGTTACATGGCGCTCGAGTTTCGCAACTTCTGCGAAGAATGGAGTGTGAAGCACTATACGAGCGCACCTCACCATCATTCTGCAGACGGCAAAGCAGAATCGGCAATAAAAGCGGCAAAGCGACTACTGAAGAAATCAGAAGCAATGGGGGAGGATCTACAAGTCGCCCTGCTCGAATGGAGAAACACGCCTCAAGTGGACGGACCGTCGCCGGCCGAGAAATTTCTCTACCGCAGAACGCGAACGCTCCTACCCTCAAGAGAAGAAGATCTAAAGCCGCGCATAGGTCCAGACGTAACGAAAATCATCGAAGCCAGGAGAAAATCCCAGAAGAAACAACACGACAGAGGCGCTCGTCCACTCTCTCCTCTAAAAGCCGGAGACGAAGTACGGATCGAGCCTCAAAACTTCAAGAAGGAATGTGAGAAAGGAACGGTGGCAAAAGAACTCAGCACGCGTCGATATCTGGTGACCACAGAGAAAGGGGGAAGCCTGGTAAGAAACCGGAGATTCCTGCGAAAACTTCCAAGACCTGAGCCGCCCGTTCCACCCCCCAACCGTCTACTGACCACGGACCGGTGTGGTCAGGACCAGGCGGACCGGCATTGTACGCCGCCCTGGCAAACAGGAGAGTTCAACCTAACAATACCACCACCGGCACCGGTCCGTCGGAAAAAGAGCGGCCTATGGGAGCGAGGGAACAAGGAGGAGGACCCGAAGAGCGGGCAGTTTCATCTAATGTAAGACGCAAGTTCAACCAGCAGAGAATCAAGAAGAGCGTCGAGCTACCACCAGAAGCGGTCGAGCAGTGAAACCCCCGGACAGATTCGGAGCCTAACAGCTGGCACTCTTTCGTGCAAACCTTAAAAAAAAAAATTAGTGTAAAATAATAGGCAGTCAATAATTGTGTCATCGAAGCAAGATCCTCGGCAGTGCAGCAGGATGCGGGCACACATGTTCAATCCAAGCGTTAGAGACGACTCGTCTAGTCTAGAGTCGGATACAGCGCAATGTTGTCAATTGGTATTATTGGTAATAATTGTATTCGTATTGTTATCAGTTGACATCGCAAAGGAGAGGGCATGTGGGCATAGAGCGCGCCATTGGTTCAAGCTCATCAGTGTCTGGGATCTCGGAGAGGAGAATTCTAAGAATAAACATTCTCGGCAGTCTGGCTGATTCATGACAAGCAACACAACGTGTTCTTCATAGCTAGCTCATATTACAGGAGATGATTTCAGTTTAAAGATCGAAGATCAAACACTTTTCGTGGAATTTCCAAACATTCTGTTTATCCTAGGAAATTCTCCTAAAGGCCTCTCCGTCGGGGAGCTGTGACCATGGCGGGCGCTCTATTCTCTATTGAACTGCAACACTCCCGGAAGCGATCTGGAGCAGATCGCTTGTTGCCAGCCGCCCCCATGTTTCTTCCCGACGCTATAACGCTGTAGCTATAGTAATTTGAAGAGATGCTGGACCGTTCTCACTATAACACCTCCGGCTGTTTTCACTTTACATGTGCGGATTTGACCGTCTCGGCTCTTGAGGATTCCGATGACTCTACCTAGTCGCCAGTGAAGTCTGTTGATGTTGTCCTCGTGAATCAGGACCACATCACCGACGGCTGTTTCTCCTGTATTGTTTGTCCTTCGCTCGTGAGCTGACCTGAGGCACAAGAGGTACTCCATTCGCCATCTTTTCCAGAAATCGTCGAGTAGGGCTTCTCCTCGCTTCCACGCATGGACCAGGGCGTCCGGGCGGATTCCGGCTCCTGTGACGTCGCCTGCCGGTAGGGATATCGGCATGCTGGGTGTGAGAAAGTGTGACGGAGTAAGTGGCGGGAAGCCGTCTACCGATGTTGGACAATTAGTCAGTGGTCTCGAATTCACGATTGATTCGATCTCCTTGATGACGGTCAGGAAGTCGAATAAAGGAATCGAATGCATGTTTGTGGTTTTACTCAGGCAGTCTTTCACCGTTCTGATCAATCGCTCGAATTGTCCTCCACACCACGCTGCTTTCGGGGCGTTTAAGGACCATTCGATTTCCCGTAAACCCAAGAAGTTCTGCGTTTGTTCTTCTCGAAGATTGTCCCAGAGGGCTTTCATGGCTTTCGCCGACCGGACAAAGTTGCAGCCATTGTCGGAATTGATTCTATGAGGGACTCCTCTGGCGGCGATGAACCTATTGAAACAGCTGCTGAAAGCTTCTGCTGACAAGTTCTCAGCGACTTCCAGATGTAGCCCTCGTACGACAGAGCATGTAAATAGGCGAATCCAGACTTTGGCACCCTTTATTTGGAAGGGCCCCAAATAGTCTACGCCTATGTTTTTGAAAACGCCTCCTGATTCGACACGCGACTGTGGCAGTGGTGCTTCCTCGGCCCCTCCCGGTTGCGCTGTATAACCCTTGCAGACAATGCAACACCTCCGAGCCGAGCAGGATTGGATGGCGTACCTCGAACGTTTCGCACGAATTCTGCAGTCGTCCTCCGACCCAGAGAAGTCCGTTTTCGTCTTCAAAGGGCGCGAATTTCGAGATTCTCGGGGACTCTGTTGGATCATCGGCCGCTATCGCCTCCCGGAAGCAACGTGATTGTGCCTCGCGCAGGAGTCGTCGCTTCGCTTGTGAGAGTTCGGCGGAGGACAGAGGCTCGGCTGTTAAATCCTTCTCCAATTCGGTTTTCTTTTTTTCTCTCAGACGTGAAGATTTTCGTCGGCCTATGATGCCAACGTTGCTTTTGAATCTTGCGGCGGCGCGTAGGACGGTCGCGCAGACTCTGATTGCACGGCTTAACGAAGAGTATCGCTTCACGTCGATTACAGTCTCCGTCACCGGATTTTCTCCGACTCCGATCCGATTGATGGTGGTCAGGATGGTTTGAGGAATTTCAGTCCTAGGGTAATGACCTGTCATCAAGAAGTCAGGACCATTCAACCAAAGTTTGTTGGACTTGAGATTTGCCATAGATATGCCTCTCGATGGCAGATCTGCTGGGTTGAGTTTCCCAGGTACGTGAAACCATTCGGTGGCTGCAGACAGGCTCAGTAGTTCTGTGAGTCGGTTCTTAATGAAGATACCGTGTTTCTCGGGTGTCTCTCCCTTTATCCAGTGCCAAACGTTCATGGAATCTGTCCGGGAGAAATGTCGTGCTCCAAAGTTCAGAGCTTTCATCGTTGTTGTCATGAGTCGTGCCGCTAACAATGCTGCCATGAGTTCTTTCCTTGGTATCGTCAGCGTCTTCAGTGCTTGCACGGGTGTCATTCTTGCTTTCGATATGACCAATGCTGTTTTCGCATTTCCTGATTCAGAATCGATGGACTTAAGGTATATTACTGCTGGTCAAGCTTCCTCGCTGGCGTCTGCGAACGCATGTATCTCCAGTGTGTTTCCCATCGTTGCTGCATAATACCGTGGGACAGAGAACTCTCTGAGATGAGCCAATTGTTTACACCATTTCGACCAGTCGGCTAAAAGGTCTTTGGGTAGGATTCCGTCGTATGTAAGCTTGCGTACATGAATTTTCTGCAGTAGCAATTTTACACCCATGACGAAAGGAGAGATCAGCCCGATTGGATCGTGCAGCCTTGCCGCTGCGCCCATGATAGATCTCTTGCATGGCTTGGCGCTGTTGACGAATTGGATCAGGCTGTTGGGATCGAAGACCAGCTCGTCCTCCGAATTGTTCCATCCGACTCCGAGAACTTTGTCCGACGTTAGAGGAGATATGATCGGCTCCATTGGGTAGTTTTCTTGAGCTAGGCTCTCCTCTTGGCCACTCATTCTCCATTTGTGCATATGCATTCCAGCGTCTGCTAGGATGGTTTCGACCTCGTCTTTGATGATATGAATTTTTTGCATCGAATCTTCGCCAGCGATGAGATCGTCCATGTATAGATTTTCAACCAGAGCTTTCGATCCGGAAGGCTTAGGATCTTCGAATCGTTTAGCTTGCTCCCGGATGGCCATTATGGTGTCGAATTGTGCATCTTTCACTCTGAAGGTGTTTCAGGTCATCCGGTAGGTTGTGGGATTTTTCATATCTTCCGAGTCGTACCACAGAAAACAGAGATAGCTTCTAAATTCGTCCTGGACGCCGACTGTCATGTAGGCCTTCTTTATGTCGCCAATCCCACGTACGATCCGAAACTCTTCAAATCCAACACTATCCGCTCTCTCCCTTCAGGTAAAGAGCCATAGGTTTTTTTAGTGGGTATTATGTACATGAGCCCCACACTCCGGTTTAATTTTCCACTCTTCTGGGTAGTGCGTCAATGCATTTTTTCCTATGGCTCTTTCACCTTTTCCTCCTAGCTTCCCCCAGTCCCCCTCTCCCTTTTCGCACTCGCAGTTCCTTTTGAGAATTATAGGGTCATCCCTTCGCGAGCTGCTTCACCAAAAAAAATTAATCCAAACCGATGAGTGCGAAATTTGAGCAGCATCGCGGCTGAAGTTGGCAGAAGATTTGGCTTGTCGAGAATGCAATCATTGAGAGATAACTGTCCTTTCAGGTGCGATGAAGCGTTGAAAACTGGTCTCACCTTATAGGTCGTCTTCGTCTCGTTCACGACCGGGAAGTGAGGCATGAAGTATTCAGGGGTGCTTCCTCTTGGATTTTTTTCCGCGAAGTTGTTGTCCAGGAAAGACCTCATTTCTTGCCAGTAAGATGCCTTGAGGTCTGGTTTGATAGACAATGTTTTCGTTAGGGATTCCAGTTGCTTTCTCGCTAGGCTGAAGTTGTCCCTCAACAAGGGTACTTTCTTCGCGTCGAAGTTGATTATTGTTTCATACGCCCCTTTTTCCTTCGTGAAGCATTTGGAGAATGCCTCGCACGCAGCCTGGCTTGTCTGTCCAGAAAGCTTGTCTGTCGAAAGCAGATCCTGACCAGATGAATTCGATTGTATTCTCCACTCTGTGTTCGGAAAACGAAGCTTTCCGTGCGTTCGCAACTCTGCTCGTAAATGGGGAACCTGTTCGATTCCGCATAGACAGTGGCGCGGACGTCAGCGCGGTTGGACAACCCACTTGAAGAAAGCTAGGCTCTCCCAAACTACGGCCGGTGACCTCAAGATGCTTTGCAGCGGATGGTCGTCCCATCGAGGTGAAAGGCTTCTTCATCGCCACGTTGGCTACAATACCTGGTTCCGGAAAGAAGAAAAGCACACGGGTAGAAGATCGCATCGTCGTTTTCGCGACCGAAACCGGGGATCTACTGGGTGGAAATGTCCCTTATGCGCTGGATCTCCTCTCTACGTCTCCGTCCGTGGAACTTGCTCAGGTCAACCTCAACACGGAGGGCCTCAAAAGCAAATTCCCGAAACTCTTCGAGACGTCTCTCGGTCTCTGCACGAAGACAGAGGTTGAACTCCTTTTGAAGCCGGATGCGTCTCCCGTTTGCTTGCCAGCTCGTCCTCTGGTGATGCCGGTCCGAGAACTCGTGGATCAAGAGCTAGACCGCTTAGTCAACAACGGTACACTCTGTCGCGTCGATTCTTCGGATTGGGCCGCACCGATCGTGGTAGTCCGCAAAGCCAACGGCCAAATTCGCATGTGCGCGGATTATTCTACAGGACTAAACGAAGCTCTACAGGACGTTGACTATCCACTGCCCAATATGGAAGAGATCATGGCGAAATTCAGCGGCAACACAGTCTTCACGCAACTGGATCTAGCCGACGCTTATCTTCAACTCCCCCTCTGCACTGCCAGCCGGGTACTCACCACGATCAATACTCATCGCGGGTTGTTCCAGTACCACCGCTTAGTTTTCGGTCTAAAGACAGCCCCGGCCATCTTTCAACGCACAATCGAACAGACCCTAGCTGGTCTCGACGGCGTCCTCGTCTATTTAGATGATATTGTAAGGGAGTTTCAAGGGAACCTAAAGAAGGCAAGAGACGGTAGGGAAGACGGGGATCGAAAGATAGCGCGGACACATAGGCAAACCAGTAACATGCGGAAATCCTAAATTGTAAACTTGTACCTAGAGCCGGACGAGCCGACGACCACGGTTCCAAGGATTGTTCTTGGAGCGGGGTCGGCGGCGAGCTCCGGAATCGACAGACCCCTTCCGCATGTGTGAGTGACGGCGAACCTTAAGATGTGTAACGAGGCGCGGTAGGAGCTTTGGAATCGGCGCGCGAGAGAGCGGTGTTGTAATGGGCCAATCGGAAACAATGCTAACGTTCCGGAAAGGGAGAGAGGACAGGAGAATAAAACGAGTGTGAAGGCGGGAAACCGCCATTCACGATCTTCGCGTGCAGTCAGCTAACCGTGTCATCCTTGATTCACGTTTTCCGGCCCCCTAGAACCCTAGCCCCGAGACCCGAGGAGCCGCTGCCGCCGCTTCCCAGTCCAACCAAAGAAAGGACCCAAGTCGAGCGCCCCGTAAGTCCCGTAGAACTGATCGGAGTGCTTCGACCCATAATCGACCCCGGAGACCACGGAGATTACCGTTACAATTGGTGGAGATCCGACTTTCCCCTGTAAAACCAACGCAGCAGAGAATCCAACCCGAAATCAACGAAAATAGTCCCAATTAAGTAGACGCAAATCTGTAAACAACAGGCGAAACGAGGAATAACGAACTAGGCCTAAATCCGAAGCCTCGTGTATAGGGCGCAAACACGTGTCTCGTACTCATAAGCCTCCCGGGTCGACATCCTAGCCAAATCATACGAATAGAGTCCAATAATTTACGATAATGCATGCCGGCCCCGAGCGAGAGAGAAGACAAAAGTGCACGTCCCGCATGCTGTAAATGTCAATAGCTAACCGCATGAATTGTCTCTTCGGAAGCATATAAGATGGCCCCACCAGCGACGCGAAGAAAGGTACAGCATTCGCCAACACCGACGACGAGACAACCAACGGCAACGGCGCAAGAAGAAACACGAGACGTAAACGTAGCAGGAGCCTCAAGTGGAAACGCGGGACCAGCGCCGACCGAGCGAGAGACCTCGACGGCACCGCCGATGCACGCAATCGCAACCTTGACCGAAAACCCGAAGGACTCGCAACCGCAAGCGAACGCCGGAGAGGAAACTCCCAAGCGGCTCACAGCAACAGCGACGGTCCCAACACCCGTACGCCTCACTCCGGAGCCGCCGAAGTTCAAGCCGGGCGACGACGCAGCGAGATGGTTGAAGTCGTTCGAGAGAATCGCAACCCACAACGTGTGGCAAGGCGATTTCAAGCTACAATCAGCGGAAATATGCATGACGGATCTTGCATTGCAATGGGCGGAGACCCAGAGCGAACGGCTGACGACATGGGCGACTTGGAAAGCAGCGTTCGCGAAAAGATTCGATAACGGAAGGGTCGCCCAAGCCAAACAACAACTGCGCAAGCTTATCCGCAGCGAGGAAGACTCCCTAATCGACCATCTGGACAGGGTGGAATGGTTGTGCCGCCAAACAAGCCCATCGATGCAGGATGAGGAGATCATCGAAAACTTCGGAAACACGATTTCAGAAGAGGAATTCGCGTTCGTGGTGACGGGAAAGCTGACAAAGGATCTCCAAGGTCTGAGAGAAACCCTTGAACTTCGGCAGAACCAAGCAAAAACGCGCAACAAGAGCGACGAGCCGAAAGCCAGCCGAACCCCGGTCATGGCGGCAGTGCGAAACAGGAGCCCCCAAGGAAGCCCCCGGAGGACCCCCCAGAGAAACGAAGAACGCGGGCGCCCGCACCAATCGGGGCACCCACCCAGGAGGGAACACTATTCGCCGTACCGACAAAATTTCGCGGGAGACCGAAGGGCTTTCGACGGCCGCCCAATCTGCAACTATTGTGACAGAGTAGGTCACATCACCAAGTACTGTCGTGACCTCCAGGGAGGAATGACAGCCGCAAGGAACCCGAACAGGATCGTACCAGCAGCACGAGAGACGCCTCGAAGATCGCCGTCACCGTACCCGGAACGCCGTCCCATGCAAGAACATTCGGGAAACGTAGAACGCCGTCCGTCCTAAGCTGCTCGGGACCGGAGAGATCGGCGATCCAGCACGGTTGCAAGACAGAGGTCTACGTCCGCAACATCGGCCAGGTCAACGCGCTGATCGATCTCGGAGCGAGTGTCTCGGCGATCAGAGCAAACCTGCTGCCCCATAGAAAACTTCGCTTCGAGCCCACCGAGAGCGATGGCAGACCTCCAATAGCGGCCGACGGATCTGAAATCCCCCGAGAATCCATTTGCATGCTCCATGTGTCTAATAATAAACTTAATATTGTGCCGTACGAGTTTCTCGTCGTTCCGGAGCTGGCAGGAGACCTTATCTTAGGGGAAGATTTTCTTAGAACATATGGCGCGGATATCGACCTGGTGAAAAATTCAATAGATTTCCAATTCGAATCCTACGCCCTCGTAAACGACCCTAGCCAAAAAGAATGCTTAGACAGAGCACCTATAAGCGTTAGCGAGACTACAATAATCCAGCCCAATACTTGTACTAGAGTCCCAATTAGCGTGCCGAGAACGCAGAGAAAAAACGCGGTCTGCTACATCAAAGCAAATAGTGCCGTGAACAACAATCAGCTAATAATTGCTCAGTCTAGTCGACTCACGCAGTGGGAAGACTTGACTGTAATTCCATGAGAAGGGTGAAGTCGTTCACCGAGGACAGATAGCGATTGTGATCCGGCAGGGCACGAGGCGGTCTTTAAAAGAAAAGTAGCGGACGATCCGTGAACGGCTCGGGTCTAGGTAATCTTACATGGGAGCACGCCACAAGCCCTACGTGTTTACATTGATGAATGCATTTCTAGCGGGGAGAATTCTGAGTTCAGCGGGGCTGGCGACTTGGTGACTTTACCTGTTTTGGCGAGTTATTCTGGGGTGACGGCGTAATCGATCTAAGAGAAGATTCTTGGACCGAGTAGTAGACTGTATGATGCGGACCCGGACTCAACGCAACATGGATACCTCATCACAAGATAGCGAGATGAACTGGATAGGTGTGCACTCTTGGGCAAAACAAAGCTTCGTACAGAATACGACCGAAACTTGAGCGAATAAGATCGGAGGAGCTCATGAGAACTCATTCAAAAATGCATATAAACT